GGGGGGAGGGCTATGCTGTGATGTACACACTTCCGGCAGTCTTCGAAAAAATCTTTAGAAATCTAGCCAATAGTAGTAGAGCATGTGGAATTTGGGGCACTTCGCACAATACCGTTATCTCGCTAATAATCTAGTGTATGTCTCCGTAAGCTCGAGCGGCCGTACATACCTTGCCGTTTTATGACGCGCCTTACAGCGGCTGATAACAGCGGGTCGAGAGGCGAGTGGCGCCCGGCCCCGGCCCCAAATGTCAATGTGCTATTTTGTACCCGTCTCTTCTTGCCCGCCTCTCTGCGCCGCGGCAGCGCGGGGTATCGCCAGCCGTGCTGCGAGCGTGTGTGCGTGTCTGTGCGTGTGTGGATGTTCACCGTAAATGGCTCTCATTTGCCACCCGGCCGCCGCTACAATGGGTTCGCAGGCTGGCGCTGGCCCGGTCCTTGGAAACAGGGCCGCTAATGTCGCGCTATCTCTGAGTGTTTGTGCAGAGGATTTGGCGCAATTGGCCCCGCTTCGCCTGACTGCCTGCCTGTACAGTTTGCAATACAAGTTGTATGCCCCCCTCCCCCCTCTCCCTCCGGCTGATAGAGCCCCTGCACCTCCGCGCGCCCTCCAGTAGCCACCCCGTGCCGCCCCCGAGCCTGCTCAGGGGCTCGTGTGGTGCAACCCTGGAATTTCGCAACTTGTTGAATGGGTCTACCACCCCCCGCCACCGCTCCCCCTCATCTTCCCAACCCCCGGCGGCCTCCTGCGGGTCCCTAGGCGCGCTCCGGCCCGGGGGAAGGGGGTGAGGGGATACGGGTATGGGAAAGGAGCGCCGCCGTCCGTCCACCCCTTTGGGTACAGCTGAGCGGGCCGGCTCTGTTTGGGGTCTGCGCCGCCAGGAGCGCTACCGCCCGGCCGTCCCGGCTCAGCCCGCCGCGAGCGAGAGAGACGGGCCGGCGGCGGGCGCGCCGCGGCGATCGGGTTAAGGAGCGAGAGAGAGGGGGCGAGGAGCGTGGGGCGGAGAGGGGGGCGGCGCTCCGAGTGGCGACGCGGCCCGCGCCAGTCGGTCGCAGGCCGGGAGCGCGCGAGCATCGCACCGGACGGAGTGAGCGTGTGTCGCGCGGGGGGCAGTAGTGCGCGCGCGCGCGAGTGTGTGTGTGTGTGTGAGAGAGAGAGGGTGTGTGCGTGCGTGACAGGACCATGGCGTAGTGGTGGTGCGACCAGGATGTCGACCCTCATGACGACGCAGACGCCCGGCATGGTCTCGCCCCCGGGCGCGGCGCCCTTCAGCCTGGACGCCATCCGCAGGCAGGTGCTGGAGAGGCACCTGCCCCTGCCCGCCACGCTGCCCGCCCTGCACCAAGAGGAACACTTCGGCACGCAAGGTGGAGTGGAGTGATACGAAGTGCGAGTGCGTGCGTGTGTGTCTGTGAGAGTGATCTACCGACGGCCACAGTGGATACGGCTAATCGTCGCAAAGTATATAGTGCTGGTGATTATGATAACGTCAGTGAAAGTGTCAAAAAAGTGTCGAAAAAGTGCCGACGCACCAGGAGTGACAACCTCCAAGTGAACCCCGTTTAGTGCAGTGTGCCCGAGTGGTGTCATTGGCAAGTGATGATCGGTGTGCTCCCAAACCCATCCTTCTTCGTCGTGCTTAAAGTGCCACCTCCGCAGTGCTGTGTGCGTGTGTCCGGAGACCGATAGCTTGGATCCGGCCTCGACTGCTCTGGCCGCTGTGCTCGCCGTCCAGGTGTGGTTCTTGAGCAGGAGCGAAGCGTGAGGCCGCCGGCCACCCCGGGGCGCTGGACCGACGGTGGCGCAGCGTCACATGAAAGTCGCTCGACGGACGCAACGACAGTTTGCCTGTTGTCGGGCACCTGTCAAATTTCGCATGCGCTGCCACCGGTACAGGACGCGCGGCCTGTCGAGCACGGGCCGAGGACAGCCAAGAGACGGATAAACAACCTCCATTTCGAATGTCTTTTTTCCGTCACTGTCGTGCGAGCGGAGGCGTGCCTGGCCACCCTGCAAGGAGCCGCTGCCGCCCTACCGGCAGCACCCCGTCCCAGCCGCCCCGAACAAGCACATGACGTGCTTCGTGCGCGCGCTCCGGTCGAGACCACAGGGCCGCAGCGAGCCTTCAATCCCGAACCACGCATACAGCCTGCGCCATTGCCGGAAGGTGTAACGGAGGGAGCGCGAGTCTGCAGCGCGGATGATCCCTTTGGCCACGGGGGCGGCCGCCCCTCGGGCCGCCCGTCCGTCTGTACGGATTAACTCTTCGGCTGCCGATGCGCGCCAGGACCGGACGGCCGTGTGCTGCGGTGGGTCCAGAGCCGGCCAGGCCAGGCCGGCGGCATCGTGCAGGCGCATACAAATTTATTCCGTTTTATATTAGAATTTTACAGTTTGCATATATCGGCCCCAGGGGCGGCCTGCGCGTCGTGACAGTGGGGCCTAAGTAGAGTGTCACGAGCCTGGAAGCCGTGTGTGTGTGTGTAACTGGTCCTCCCCTAACCTCTGTCGTAGGGTCCTGGCCGCCCCGCGGTGTGCAGTCGCCCAGTTAATTTTAGCATAACGCGTCTGCGCATTATTTTTTGGGGAAAGGCATTTGTCACTTGCTTCCATTTGGTGGCGGGATGTCGCTTTGTCGGGTTAGTCCGAATGCAAAAGACTGCAAGAAATCCGCGTCCACGAAACAGGATGCAGAAAGAAAAAGTGTGGGCTTTTCCCAGAGTTTTATAATTGGACCATAATATCACTCATAAAAATGCCTTACCAGCGAGTACCGACGTGCGCGTATTTTGTCTCTTATCTCAGTCAAGGAGCAGCATAGATTTGAAAGTCGTCGCATATGACGTAGAGAAACACATCTCTACATTTTAAGTGTGTTTCGTGATGTTTCGATACGTTGGTTGCCGAATATCTCTGCTTCTCCTTTTTTGTTCTTTTCCCTTTGCTCCCGCCGGCTTAATCCGAATTTATTATGTAAAAAAACTGATGAAGGCCGTTTACCGTGTTCCGTCCAAAGTGGAAACCCGAAATCGTGCTCAAAACGAAGCGGCCCCGCTCAAGAAAGTTATTGAGCCCGCAGGTCCGATTATGAATTTATGTGTCTGTTTTGTAGAAATGTTTAGGATTCGGGGATGCGCGCAGTTTTTTCGTCGAATACCTGAGATCAGACGAAGGGGATTAGATGTCGTTATTGTCTTATTGCAAGAAGCATGTTTCTAATCGGCGTCGTTTTCATTTTTTCGGAGGTGCGGCAGGCCTCTCGTGTGTCTTGGCAGGCCAGAAATGAATCCAAAGGAGAAATGGGATTACTTTTTGGCAATCGGTGTCTTGTTATTTCTCGGTACATAAAGTTAGTTTTATCGAGGGACTTTCCCTGCGGCGAACGCCGCATGCACGGAATTGGGTTACTTTTTTGACCAACTACGAACTCGATAAGGCGGCGAATCATGTCATGCTATTGATAGCAATTTCTTCTGACCGGGGGAACGCAACATATCGCACACACGGATTCAGCCTTTAGTAAAAAATATAAAATGAGAGCGGACAATCAAACGGAGAATTGAGGGTGAGGAAATAACACAAAACAAAACAACCTCACGAAAAAGAAATCAGGCGCGTACAAAATGGGTTGCGGTTATCTGTTTTGTTTGCACTGGGCCAGTCGCGAAAAGTTCGCTAAGCCATTCGAAAAGCCTTTTTTTTGTTGTTGTGAGATAAGGTTATCTGGACACGGAAGCCGCGTTGGAGCCGGGCTGGCCACCTGTACTACCTGCCCGCTACCCGCGCATCCTCCGAGGCCGCGACCGATCGCAGACTCCTTCGACGGCCACCTCGTGGGGAGGGGGTGCGCAGCCCCGGGGCGAGGAGGCGGGGGGGTCATCACAGCGCGGAAGCCGGAAGCCTTCAGAGGGGCTTTATCGTTATGTAACGGGGCCAAAATTATTATCGTTGCGAAATGTGCGACATTAACCCGGCCTTCCGCTCACTTTTCGACAATCGTCATAATGATTGTGGCTCGCCGTCATCGCTGGCGCCTTTGTTTTGAGGGGAGGGGTGGCGGTCCTCTCTATGGACTTGACGCAGCGACGTCCACCTGGGACGTATCCGAGAGTATTGTCTCCGCTACTGAGCCGACGCACGTCATTTACGGAGACCCCTCCGTATAGAGGTCCGCCGCGCAATTATATTCATGAACACTGCTACACCTAGTACAGTCTGTGTGTGAGTGAGAGAGCGATGCTAGCTCCACTCATTTCCATCGCCTCGCCCTTCCCCCTCTTGCTCGCTCACTTGCGCTGGCTGAGGCAAAAGTCTGTAATTCCTGGAGCTTCTGCCTCATTTTCACTCGTGTGTAAACCGACGCGGACGACCCCGCCCCGCCGGCGCCCCGCGTGAGGGAACGCACTCACACGCGCCACACACAC